GTCCAAATTCTTCATCCTCGTTCTCGAACTGGTAGGTCCAAATTCTTCATCCTCGTTCTCGAACTGGTATGTCCAAATTCTTCATCCTCGTTCTCGAACTGGTATGTCCAAATTCTTCATCCTCGTTCTCGAACTGGTAGGTCCAAATTCTTCATCCTCGTTCTCGAACTGGTAGGTCCAAATTCTTTACTTTCCCACTGCTATTTCTGTGTCTGTCTTCCCTTTCCCCAGTACTGAATAACCATTATTGTGTCGATGTGCTTTTCTTTATTCAAAACAACAACAGCAACAACCATAACCGCAACAACAGCAACAACAACCACGACGACGACAGCAGCAACAATAACATCAATATCAGCAGCAACAACAACAACACACAACAATGTTATCGTGTCCACGTATTTTGTATTTTCCCTAATACTAAATCACCAGTTGCTTTGGTTTAGCGGTTAGGCGCATACGCAGAAGACCCGATTTCGATTCCCATGTTTGGAAAATTTGCATCGAGTGCAATGGTTTTTTTACTGAGACTTTGTATCACTCTCAAGCTGGTTTGTTCCTGGCAGTAGTGACAGGCAGGGTCGAGCCTCGCTTCCAAAATAATTTAAATTATGTCTATGGGGGGTGTTTTTTAAAAATTATTGTAGTAGAGGGTTTTACTGCGCTCGCAACTGCATAAGGTCATATGAGCGCCAAGAGGTGGGTGTCAACAGAGAAGTCTTTACAGGGAATCAGACTTACTCTGCTCCCCTTTCTAGCTTCAACAGCACAAGGTCTGCTTCAACTATCAAGGCACCTCGGAAATATCAGGTCACAAGAGAGTGGCAAACATACAAAAAAAAGTAGAGGGAAATGATAATAGTAAGGATTAAGAAAGAAAAAAGCAGCAGTTCCCTGTTTTAGATCAGGCACAATTATGAGCGTGACATGAATCAGCCCATTTACAATTCTACTATGCTTGAACGAGAAATGTCCCCCCCCCCCCTTTGGGAAAGGCCTAAAGACACTAGTCAGTGGCACTGCCCCGGGGGGATATGGGGGTGTAAAACGCTCCTACATTAAAAAGGAGCAATAGTAATCGAGATCATTTTCAAACTAATAAAACTAAACCCGTTGAGTGGTCGGTTGGAGGGTTCTCTGGTGTGATTTGCTCTTTTCTTTCCTATCAGTCATCTATTTTCCTTCTTTATTTTATTTTTATGCTAGATGTTAATCTTCGTCGGCATATGTATGACCTGGTTGTGTCGCAAATTCCGTAAAACTCTTACTCTGGATGGTTGGTGGATGCTCTGGTGTATTTTGCTCTGTCTTTCCTATTAGAGCTGTATCGTCCTTATCTCTTTTCCATCTTTTGTCTGCGGATGATTGGGGGCGCCACTGGTGGGTCCTACTTCTTTACTTTCCCTCTATTGTTTTTGTTTGTCTGTCTTACTTTTTCCCCAGCACTAAATGACCATTTTTGTGTCGAAGTGCTTCTCTTTTCCCAAACAAACAGGCAAAACACATTTTGTCTTCACGTTACACTCTAGAAACATCTCTGATCTTCGGCGGTTCGTATATTATGACCTGATTTTGTTGCAAGTGCCGTATGTGAAACTCTTTACTTTTAGATCAGTACTTATGTCTGTTTCCGTGTCGCAGGTGTGTCCGGCGACCTGAACTCGCTGCGGGCCGAGAGCCCACTGATGTTCCACGAGACGCACGGCGACAACATCCAGCTGCAGTACAACAACACGCGCGCACGCCGCTACGAGAGCTTCTGTAAGGGCATCTGCTTCAGCAGCCGGCCCATCGCCATCAATGAACGGGTGAGTTATTGATGTGTGTGGTTGATGCCCGGTGCCCATTGGCAAGATCGGTTTGGTTCGTTTCAGTTTGGTCCGGTTCGGTTTGGTCTGGTCGTCGGGGGCTATCCTTCAAGAACAAACGCGTTTTGTTTTTTTTTCGTCTCAAGGCCGTGAGTCAGGCGTTCGATTTAAGGCAGGGGTCTATTTTATAGTGTGCACTCATGAAGCTGCCTGAAACCGTACCACACCAATCCAAACCGAACTGTACAGAACCGATCCTCCAATGGGCTCCGCCCTAGGCTTTCTGGATACCCAGAATTCTCTCATACTAAATCGCAAGTTCTGGATACCCAGAAAGCCTAGGCTCCGCCCTAACAGTCCAGCTGCTCTGGCTGGTCTTTTCTCGACCAGCCAGATACTTTTTTCTTGGGGGGGGGGGGGTCTCTGTTGTTGTATCTCTCTCTGTGCGCACTTTCTTTCCTTTCTCTGTTAATAACAGTATTTGTAACTGTTTGTACTGTATCTCTTTCTTTTGTTGTGTTTGTTACTCTCTTGTCACACCTATAATATTCGGTACTTATAATGTGATCTTTTTGTGTTGCTAGTGCCATAAAACTCAACTAAAAGTGAAACAATATGCACAGACACACACTTGCATGCACCTTGGAAACAGTTTGGGGTAGTTATTGCTTTCATTCTCTATTGTATGTTTCTTTGCGTTTGTCTGCCTGTTTGCTATCTGTCTGTCGTCTTTCTGTCCGTCAGGTTTGTGTGTGTGTGAGGGGAGGGTGAGATATCGGGAGAGAGAGAGAGAGAGAGAGAGAGAGAGAGAGAGAGAGAGAGAGAGAGAGAAAGAGAGAGAGAGAGAGATAGATTCTTTGCTCTCTCAAATTTTTATTTGTTGAAAGCTTTCGCCACAAATGCATTGATGGCACTCAAACCCCACTGGGGTTACATTAATATTGCACTTTACAGTGCTGAACTCTATTCATGTTTGCTTCCCTTCTCTTGTGTTGTTTGTATGCTTGTTTGGAATTGTGCCCAAGCTGTTTATGCGTCTGTCCTTTGTGTTAATGTAAGTGTATGCGTTTTTATTTCCTTCTTTCTTTTCCCTTTTATCTTTCTGTGTGTTTGTGTGTGTGTGTGTGTGTGTGTGTGTGTGTGTGTGTGTGTGTGTGTGTGTGTGTGTGTGTGTGTGTGTGTGTGCGCGCGCGTGCGTGTGTGTGTGTGTGTGAGAGAGAGAGATGGTGAGTAAGTGGGAAAGAAAAAGAGAAAGAGAGAGCGAGAGGTGGGGGGGGGGGGAGAATTTATGTGCTTAACGCCACATTCCACCCTGTCTGTGTATGGCGTGATTTAGACAATACTATTCTGTAACTCTGCTTGCTTTATTAACCCGCCCTACTTTGCATTGGGAGGAACTCTAAGGTATGAACTGAATTATTGTTGGCAAGTCCTCTGGTGTTATTTGCTCCTTTTATCCCGTCGAACCTCTGTAGTCCTTATTAGTCTCTGTCCTCCTTTTTTGTGTCTGTTACTCTCTAGTAGACCTCTGATCTGCGGCTCTTTTATGGCCTAATTGTGCTGCAAGTGCCGTAAACCCGTACGAAAATATAAACGGATCCGAAATGTAACTGTCCCCGCAAAACTCTTACTAAAAAAAACCAAAAGCCAATCGAACTGTCCCCGTCTCGCCTGCAGGTTTACGTGAAGTTTGTGGAAACCAACACATCCTGGAGTGGGGTGCTTCGGTTTGGCTTCACCAGCGTTGACCCGGCCACCATCCGGGGCTGTGACCTGCCGCGCTATGCCTGCCCGGACCTCACCAACAAGCAAGGCAACTGGGCCAAGGCGCTGGGCGAACGCTACACCACCAGCAACATACTGCTGCACTTCAGGTGAGAGATGCCTGCACGGTTTATTACATCACATGTACTGCTGATGCTACAACTAGTACTGCTGCTGTTGCATGTTCCTCTTCTTCTTCTTCTTCTTCTTCTTCTTCTTCTACTACTTCTACTACTACTTCTTCTTCTTCTTCTACTACTAGTTTTCATACTACTACTACTACTGCTTGCTGCTGCTGCTGCTACTGTTCAAGACAGCAAGACAATCACCAGTACAATCGACCGCTTTACCCCCCCCCCCTCCACCGATTTCTAAATTTAGATTGTAGGAAGACTGAAATTTTCCAATTGTGGTTCAGTAAAAGAGGAATCCATGGGGGCCTTTGCTTTACTGATGTAACTACATCTCTTTGAGATCAGGGAATATTTTTACATTTGTTCTCATGAAGTTTTGCTTCCAAGATGAACAGATGCCTATATATCAGAAGGATGATGTGTGTTGTTTTGAATGAAATGTTAAAAACGATGTTAAGACAACAGTATTTTGGACACTGTGGAATTTTTTAATGAAACCTTATATTATCTATGTATTTTCTGTCATGTATGGGGTAAATGAGGAGGACTCTCGAGGCCAGCCCAAGGCTCGCCTTTTGTGACTTTGATTCAAACGTATGAGAGTGTTTCACAGAATTTCCTTTGGGTTTTTTATACAGGATGCTGTATCCCACCCAGGCATAAGCAGTTTGCCTTCAACACGATCAGTTGAAAGTCTGTCAGTGGGACTGTTAAAAATGTACTTGTCATTAACAGATTTTCATTGATGCATGATATTCATAGCGCATTTAATTTTTAATTCAATACTTGTTACTTATAGTACCTTTTCTTCATAGGTCAGTAGTTTTTATATGGCTCTTAATTACTTTTGCAGTTTAGAGAAGTGACAGAGATTTGCTTATTTTACAGGAAAATGATTTGCACTGTATCCAGTAAAATTCGTCTGTCTGTTTCTATTTTACCAAAGACTATTACCATTCACAGAGTTTATGGTTTTGTTTTCACAGATGCACTCTCAGTTAGAGAGTTGATAGTTTAATTCTAAAGAATGTACTGTTTGTTCTTTTTAAAACTTTAAATCCGACATCCATCAGTTTGAACAGCTTTTTTTTAGCTTTGAATAATTAACGCGACACAGCAATTTAAAATTATCTTTCATTTAACTTTGCTGGATGTGCAAGAAGTTGGAGTGTCTTTGGTCTACTTTTGAAGGGTTTTAATCAAGTTTATCACATGTGGGTTGATTATGTCTTACTCCAGACCTAAAGGTCTTCGAAAATGACTGATTCCTAATCCCTTCAATCTTCTTCTCTACAATAATCGTTCAGTGTGAACCGTGCGGGCGACGTGACGTATGGCGTGAACGGTGAGGAGAAGGGCCTGTTCTTCAGTGGGGTGGTCACCAACCAGCCTCTGTGGGCCATGCTGGACATCTACGGGAATACAGTGGCCGTGGAGTTTTCACACGCCAATGCTGGTGAGTTGGATTCAACTGGGGACTTTTGTCTTTATCGTGAGGGTCGTGTGACCAGGAGGCCAGCGTCTTAATCTTTTCTCTATAGTACTCAGGTGTCATATCCGGACATGAATTTAGATTGTCTGTTAATTGACTTTCATAGAGATTTTTATCATTCTCCAGTCTCCAAATCTTCTTTCGAAAAAGGAAGGCTAGGCCTCTATAGTTACACTAAGCAGCAAGTAGATATTAGTAATATATTGTTCTACCAGTCAAGAGAAAGGGATTTTGTGTGGTACCCCTTTAGACATCCACGTGCTGCAGTTCTCCAGCTGTGTCTGACTCTTTCCTTTACTACAGTGATCTGCTTCTTTTATCCCCCCCC